AGAGACTTGACAACTTAATGCAAAGCAAGATCCTGAATTGAATCCTAAACCAGAAAAAAAATTACCATAACGGACATTATTGGCCCAACTGGTAAAATTTAAACATGGATTGTAAATTAGATAATGATCTTGTATGAATGTTAAGTTTCTTGACTACATACAATTGTTGTACTGTGGTTATACATGAGAATGACCCTAGGAAATACATGCTGAGAAATTAAGGAGTAAAGGGCCATTATGCCTGAGGAATATAAATGGATAGATAGATTATGTGTTCATGTATACATATAGAGGGCATATGTATATACACATGTGAATAGAGTGTATATGTAGAGAAAATGTGTGCAAGTGTGCATACATATACGTGCTTCTGTATATGCATACATATATGTATGTGAGTACATATATACACACATATATAATATATTGTTAGAAAGAAAATCAAATGTTAAAAAATGGGAATCGAGGTTAAAGGTATATGATAATTCTTTGTATTTTTCTTGCAACTTTTACATTTGAACTTATTTCAAAATAAAAAGTTGTTTAAAATAGGACACTGAGGCCTGGGGAATTCAAAGCCTTGCCCAGATGTGAGCTAAAGGGCACCCCGGCCCAGGACCCCAGCCCTCCTGCAGGGGCTCTAATTTTTGACCTGGCTCCCAGCTCCAGGGCCCTCGTCCCCACCACTTACGGCGGACCACCACGCTGACTGGGTCAGAGCGCTCTCTGCCCTGGGCATTCTGCACCTCACAGAAGTAGAAGCCTGTATCGGCCCTGGTGACTGAGTGCAGCTGGAGGATGTGACTGTGGGTGTCCTTCATCAGGTCGTGGTTTTTGTACCATGTGTAGCGCAGATCCCTGGGCGCTTCTTTCGGCGTGTTGCAGGCCAGGGTCACAGTCTGGTTCTCCAGAATCGGGCCTGCTGGGCTCACCTGGACCTCAGCCACTGTGGGGGCAGCATAGAGCTCACTGAGGGATACTCGGGTGACTTCCAGGCCCCACCCCTCAGGGTTGCAGCCCGGCGACCTAAACCTCTGCACTCTGTACGCCACACCCCTCTGAGGAGGAGCCTCCTGGACTGGCCATGCATCTCTTTGCCCTGTTCACTGCCAGGGAGGTTTGTCACCTGTCAGAAGCCAAGCCGGAACTCCACACAGGCATCCCAGGAGGCACCTTGGCCTCGTTTCCCTCAGCCCCCATGGCCTGGATGCCTCCCTACCCTCTGGTCAAGACCCAGGCTCACCCAGGACTCACTGAAGATGTGGAGGCTGACAGGAGGTGAGACCGAAGAGCCTACGCCATTCCCAACTTCACAGGTGTAGACGCCAGCATCAGCCCAGGCTGCCCGGGGCAACTGTAGTATACGACTCCGGTTTTTCAGGTGCGTCCCATCCTTGACCCACTGCACGGAACTGACCTGAGGGTGGCTGCTGTTCGCCTGGCAGGTGAGTGTGACCAGATCCCCTGGAAGGATGTTCCGCCCTGAGGGGCTGAGGAGGATTTCCACACCCTTGGGGGCATCTGCAAGGCATGACAGGGGTTGTCGAGTATGGTGCCCAGGGAAGGCGGGGGCATTTTGCCACTCCCCTTTCAACACTTTGCCTTAAGGAAGCCCACCCAGATAAACTGGAACTCCCATTAGTCCCCTGTCCAGGGCAGGCACTGGCCTCACATTGTGAGGAAGCCTGCTCCTGTCCTTCTCTACTGAGAGCTTGATACTGTGATGCTTGGCATAGCATTCAGCCTACACTGCCTTCAATGGCTTTCTGCACCATGACACGTCCATTGCCCTCTCTTCTATCTGATGGCCATGGGCACGCTGCTTGCTTTAGTGGCTTGTGGCAGCTGCTGGCAAAGGACAAACCACCTAACACAAGGGCTAAAGGCAGAGTCAAATTCTCTCTGAGAATGGTTAACTCATTTGTTGGGAGATCCCAACGATACAAAGAAACTGCATTTCTTTAAATCTTGTTCTAAAGCCTCTCTCTATGTAACTATGCTAGTAAAAGCTAATATTTTCAGGAATTCCCTGATTGCCTAGTAGTTAGGACTCTGGGCTTTCACTGCTGTGACCCGGGTTCAGTCCCTAGTCAGGGAACTGAAATCCCACAAGCCATGCAGTTCAGTTCAGTTCAGTTCAGTAGCTCAGTCATGTCTGACTCTTTGCGACTCCATGGACTGCAGCATGCCAGGCCTCTGTCCATCACCAACTCCTGGAGTTTACTCAAACTCATGTCCACTGAGTCAGTGATGCCATCCAACCATCCCATCCTCTGTCGTCCTCTTCTCCTCCCGCCAATGCAAGCCATGTAGTGTGGAAAAAAAAAAAAAAAAAGCTAGTATTGTCAAGTCCTTAATCTATGTAACTATGAAAATAATAGAAACTAATATTTTTGCATGCTTTTAATTTTCATAACAATCCTGTGAGATAAAATGTATTTATTATTACCTCCACTACAGAGAGGTGGTGAGAAAACAGAGGCTCTGAGAGGCAAGTAACTTGCCCAAAGTTTGCTCATCTAGTCTATGGTGAAGCCAGCAGCCTGATGCCTATGTACGGCAGTTGTTCTAGAACAGGCTGCCTGTCTTTACTGTGATGGGAAGATGCATAATCAAGTGAAAACTTGGAATTCCTCCCACTGTCTCTTTGCCATATCCAAGTGTTCCCCTGGTCATGGAGTGTGAGTGGCAGGAAAGGGATGAACCCTGGCTTCCTCCTCCTCTTCCAGAGCTGGTCTAAATCCCAGGGCCCCTACTGCCCAACCCCCAGTTCTCTGGCTGAGTCACCCCTTCCCTGCCCAGCCTAGCTTCAGGGACTGGAAGTGGAGGGAGCCTTTCAATACTACTCCTGGGGCTTAGCAGTCTCTTTCCACCTGCTCCACCCTGGAGGTCCAAGTACAGCCTGGCTATTTCTACAGGCCCGAAAGGGATGGTTTCCACTGGGGAACCACAGATGTGTATGAGCTCAGTAACAAGGATGTGCTACCCACCCCGCCCACCACCCTCACTCACACTGCACTTGGAGGCGAATCTCGCGTTGAGTCCTATGGTTGGCCGCCGAGAGCTGGCAGCTAAGGGTGCGGCCATGGTCCTGCCAGGACAGGGCCATGTGGAGGGTCACCAGGTGGTGGATGCTTGTGGGCTCAAGCTTCTGGAGTGTGGAGGTGGTGGAGCGGGCAGGGTCCTGGCCTTGCCACCGCAGGGTGAATGGCTCCTGCAGGCACGCGTAGGGAGTGGAGCAGTTGAAGTCCACCTTCATGCCCTCACGCAGCTCAGCCGGAGCGGCAATGGTGGGCATAATGAGCTCCTCTAAGGACAAAGACAGGAGGCTGGGGGCTCCCCTTCACCGTACCTGAGACCTCCTGCCCTGGAGACCTCAGCCCAGGGCACGGGACTTCAAGGGGAAGGAGAGAGCCAGGGGTTCACTGGGGGGGCAAATGTCAGGGGGCACAGGGCTGGGCTGGAACTGCAGCCAAGATTGGGGCTGGGTTTGGGTTTGGGTTTAGGACCGGGCTGGGGCTGTGAGCCAGTGGGGCCAGGAGCAGCCTGGAGCCCCTTCCGGCCGGTGACCCTGCTCTCACCTGTCACGGTGACCGCAGAGCCTTTGACATCTACCCAGCGGTTGCCCTCGCTGATCTCGAAGCGGAAGTTGTAGGAGCCCGAGTCCTCAAGCTGCAGGTCCTTCAGCAGCAGGTTGCACACTCTGAGCTCAGGATTCCCCACCAGCTGGGCGCGGCCTTGGAAGCGGGCCTGCACCAGCTCGGGGTTTGTAGAGTGACTCACTACCTGCCGTTTGCCGGAGTAGTCATAGTACCAGATGGTTGTGATGCCATGGGGCACATTCACACTGGCAGGGAAGCTGAAGGTGCAAGGGATGACGAGGCAGGACCCCTTTATACCCCGCACGGTGTCGGGACTGGAGACGCCCCACGAGGTCAGGTCTGAGGGAGAGGTAGGACAAGAAAGAGTGTAATGCAGGCCTGGGGTCGTGCTCTGCCCCCCAGCAGGTGTTCCAGACGCACTCTCAAATCCTGCCCTGCCCCCAGCAATGCAACCCCTCTGGGCACCTCAGAGAGGGTCCCTGTTCCCTGTCACTGCCTCCTCATGCCCTCCTTCAGCCTCAGCAGCTAAACCTGTGACCAGACACAGTTCAGTCTGCCCAGGCCAACAGAGGCTGGACTCGCCGAGGCCAGGCCCTGAGAGAAGGAAAAGGCCAACAAAGCTTACCTGCTGGGATGGGTAAGGCCAGGAGGAGGAGTTGGAGCAAGAAGTCCATAGCAGGTTCTCACGCTGGTTCTGTTGCCTATGAGGTGGGTGAGTACTGTGCTGGGCACACAGGGGTCTCCTAGGGAACCTCGGTCTCAGAGCCTGCTGGGATGCCAGTCCTGTTTCCCCACACACTATGCTGGCTGACCCAGTGAGAGGGCAGGGCAGCTGCCAGCTGGGATCCAGAAGCCCATGTTCCCAGCTCATGCTGTGTCCAGGAATGCCTTCACTTGGTGGCCCCAGAAAATCCTCTGTCTGTCGCTTGGCCCCACCCTAAGTTCTGCTTTCCCAGCCTCTTCAAAGATGAACAGCTGTTTCTCTATTTCCCCCACTTCCTTGCCCCCTCCCTGCTGCCCAAGTCACCAGCAACTGGAGGTCAGAGAGGCACAATGACTTATTCCCAGGCATCCAGCAAAAATGATGGTTTCTTACTTGAGATTTGTCTCCCTACCACCAGTCTTACCAGTTGTAGACCATAATGGAGTTTGAGCACTTAGAAAACTGTAGACTTCAAGAGTCCTCCCTTGCTCAAAAACCTACTATGGGTCCCCATTGCCCATGAAATGTGGCTCCCCTACATCCCCAAAAGGCCTTCCTTTCCTACTGCCAGCTCTGCCCCCATTTACTGTTCCCCCTGCGACCAGTTCCCACCCTGGGGCCGGTCGTGTCTGCCCACAAGCTCTCCAGCTATCCAGCTCTGGCCTCACCACAAATGATCTTTGCCTGTTGAAATCTTATTTAGTCTTCAAAGTGGCTTCTAGCTGAAACTTTCCCTTTGGGGTCTCTAACCACCCTAGAGCCATTTCTGTATTCACCTTGTTCTTTGTAGCTGTGAGCACCCACTTCTCAGGACTTGGGGCTGAGGACGTGTGTCCTGCAGCAGTGCAGAGCCCCTCGCCCCCTGCAGCAGTGGGCAAGAGAAGAGTGTGGTCTTTGAGGGTTTAGAGCTCGTGGCAGGGCAAGTCTGGTATGACAGGGGACACAAGAACCCGGCGTGACATGTAGCTGACAAACAAGAGGTAAGTGCCTACTGTATGCCATGCACAGGAAGGCAAGCCCTTCACCACCGGGTGCCTCTGGAGCCATAAAACTGTTAGAAGAAAACAGGTGAAAGTCTTCACGACCTAGTAGCAGGCAATGATTTCTTAAGCATGACACCAAAAGCAAAGCAACAAAAGAAAAAATAGATAAATTGAACTCGATCAAAATGAAAAATGTTTTTTTGCATCAAAAGATACTACCCAGAGAGTGAAAACTCAACCCACAGAATGGGAGGAAAATACCTGCAAATCATATAGCTGATAAGGGATTAACATCTGGAATATATAAAGAACTCCTATAATTTAACAAAACCCCCCCCCCCAAACAACCTCAATTTGAAAAAATGTGCTGAAAGCTTGTAGAGACATTTCTCCAAAGATGATATACAAATGGTCAACAAGCCCATGAGAAGATGCTCAACATCAGTAGTCACTGAAAGTGAAAGAAAGTGAAGTCGCTCAGTCGTGTCTGACTCTGTGAGACCCCATGGATTGTAACCTACCAGTCTTCTCCGTCCATGGGATTTTCCTGGCAAGAGTACTGGAGTGGGTTGCTATTTCCTTCTTCAGGGGATCTTTCCGACCCAGAATCGAATCCGAGTTTCCCACATTGCAGGCAGACACTTTACCCTCTGAGCCACCAGGGAAACCCCTCATTAGGGAAAGGCAAATCAAAACCACAGTGAGCTACCACTTCACACTGTAAACAAACAAACAAGACCAGAAAATAACAAATGTTGACGGGCTGTGGAGAAATTGGAAGACTCGTGTACCATTGGTAGAAATGTGAAATGGTGCAGCCCCTTTGGAAAGTTTTGTGCTTTCTCAAAAAGTCAGACATAGATTACCATATGATCCAGCAACTTCACTGCTAGGTATATACCCAAAAGAATAAAAAATAGGGCCTTAAATAGATATTTGCACACATGTTCACAGCAGCATTACTCATAATAGCCAAAAAGTAGAAGCAACCCAAGTGTCCATCAACAATTGAATGTGATATATCCATACAACAGAATAGTATTCAGCCATAGGAAGGAATGAAATTCTGACACATGTTACACACATGGGCAAAACTTGAAAACATGTTACACGAAATAAGCCAAGCACAAAAGGGCAAGTATTATATGAATCCACTTGTATGAGATACGTAGAATAGGCAAATTCGTAGAAAGTAGAATAGAAGTTACCAGGGCCTGGAAAGAGGAGGGATGGAGGAGTTAATGTTTAATAGGTACAGAGTCTCTATTTTGGATGATGGAAAACTTCCGGAAATAGATAATAATGATGATTACACAGTAGTATGAAGGTACTTAATGCCATCGGATCGCATACTTAAAAAATAGTTAAAACAGTAAACTTTACCACATACACGTACAAAACCCATATTGTCAACTTTGCAATCTTCCTTGGCCCTAAATGCTGACTCTGCAGAGTGAGGGGAAGGGCCTGGGGAACCTGGAAGTAGGGACAGGAAACTCATGATATCTTCCGGTCCCAAGTCCATCTGTCTCAGGGATGGGGCCCAGCTGATTCTGGTGGCTACCAGAGGGCACTCCTGGGGAGAGGCTGAACAGAGCCTGGAGAGGCGCTGCGTTGCCTGTGAGGATGACTAGCCAAGTGTGAAGAGAGGAGGGATGTCCTTAGAGGGAGCACAGCAAAGGCAAAACTGTGGGAAGAACAGGCAGAGCCCTGTTCCTCAGGAGACTGGGGCCCCTGGCTAGGCCGCTCCTGCAGACAGGTCTGATCATTTGCTGAGGCCCAGTGACCTGTCCTCAGACTTTTGGGCAGTCCTAGTCCTGTTCCTCTCCCTGGAAGATGTACCCACACCCTCCCCACCTGGTCCTTGGCTCATGCTGGCCCAGGCTGGGCCCCATGACCTGGGTGCAGTGTCCTGGAAGCCCCGGGGGCCCAGGGCCACACTGAGCATCAGGGTCAGCTCCTCTACAGCTGGGACACCACCAGTGTTCATATTGTCCCCAGCTCCCCTGCTGCTCCCATCTGGGGCCCTGGAAAGAGGAATGCTGAAGCTACAGGATAAATGGTGGGATTTTAGACACACTGACCCCAGAACGGAGCAGGGGTTTTTGAGAGGACCCTTTCTAGAACCACCCAAAGTCATTTCCTGTAGATGTCACCTATACTTAGCCCAGTCCCAATAACCAAGGGATCAGTCCCACCAGAGTCCAGCTTATTGGTTCAACTTGTTCTACCCCAAAGACCAACCTCAGCCCAGAGAACTTTCCTGGAAAAAAAGAAAGGGCATGAAGAGCTCCAGGAAGGGAGCTCCTTGTCCCAGTTAAAAGCCTGGTGTTGACAGGGAGGTGTCCCTAGGACTCGGGTTGAGTGGGGTGTCCTGGTGGGCACCTAGCACCTCCTGATGGTAGACGGATGACTGCAGCTCCTGGGAAGGGGGTGGCTATACTGGGGACAGGAAGCACTGTAGCTCTCAGGCAATGACCATTTGGGAAAGCACAGTTCCAGGGTTCATCCCAGAATCTCCAAGCCTTGGACCTTCTGAAGACAGGGTTTAAAGTCCCACTCCTCTGAACTGATAGATGCTACATCAGCACTGGGTTGGGGTGTATGGCACATGGGAGACACCCATGTTTGCTCAAGTGAGTGGGTAAGTATGAGACCAAGTGTCCCAGGACATCTGGGAGGGCGACTAGGGCCACAAGTCCCTGATTTCTGATCCCAGAGGCCAAGTTTGGCCTGGGGAAGAAAGGACAAAGGCAGTTTCATTGTAGGCAGCTGTGCTTGGGTTCAGGATTCAGTTTCTATTTCCCAGTACCAGAGCTTCTCCCAACTTCCTTATTCAAGTTGGAGAAGGAGGGAAAGAGGGTGACCAAACCAGTTTCAGCGCTCTGCTCAACAGGTCAGAAAGCAGGTTCAAATGGGCGATTCCGGGAATACATTGTCTTCATAATAATGGAAAGTCCCAAACATAGGCCGTTTAACTCGGAAAACCACATTATCCATAAATGAGGTCTATCAGCTTTGAAATGGGTAGTAGATGTGTCACATTTCTTTCCTTAATCTGGCTGTAAATGCTCTTAGCCTGAATACCCATTCCATCAAACTATGCTGGATGGTGCAGGGGGGCCTTCGCTCAGATGAATGAAGTGGTAATGAATGAAGAAAACTGAGGGGAAGGTAAGGGTTGGGCTACAGTTGGTTTGGGGTGAAAGTGATGGTTAGGCTGCGTTTTGGAATGGAATTAGTCTTAGCGTGGAGGTGAGAGTGATGGGGTTGGGTGAGGGTGCTGGTCAGGCCTGGGGCTGGATGGAGATGACGGTTACTAAATGGTTGGGGATGGGATTCAACGGAGGGTGAGGTAGGGGTGGAAAAAGTACCTAGGCTGCGAGGGTCAGGAGTCAGTATTAGATGGGGGTTGGGATATGAGTTGGGGAAACTTTGGTGTTGTGCAAGCCTTTGAGCTATGAGCGTATCTTTGTCTTGGGCTTGGACACCCAGGTGTCCTCCCCCAAATCCCAATCCAGCCCTGCTCCCAAGCCTCAGCTCGTCCTCTAGGCCCAGGGAGGGGAGTACCTGCTCCACAGAGGGACGGGGCTGCAGAGCCGGTGAACCGCAGGTGAGGAGGACGCGGGGGAGGGCCAGGAGCTCGAAGTGCTGCTGTCTCTCCAGGAGAGGAGACCCAGCTTGGGGTTGCTTCTTCTTTTCCCAAAGCCTCAGCTCCACCGCCTGCCCTGGAAGCTAGTCGGGGAGGAAGACCAGTCTTGCACAACATCAAGACCGGAAAGACCTCTCAGGCAGGGGAAGACCCCGGCAAGGCCTGCGACTCTGGGACTTGAGCAAGCAGATGTGGAACCTTGGGCCTCTTTGCCTGAGAGGGGGCCTCCTCTCAGGCAAAGTGGGAACTTAGGGGTCCTGGTCACTAGCCACAACCATACTCTTCTCTTTGGGGACCACTTGGCCTTTTTAGGGAATCCGAGAGAGGAGGAAGGGAGCGTTCTGCACAGTTTTCCTCCTGACAACAGAGAAGACAAGTCTGTCCTGGGGTAGGGGAGCATGACAAGGCACCCAGACCAAGGTGTTGATTTTCCAAGTCCTTTGGGACCTTCCCAGTACCCCCTTGCACCTGGCTATTCTGGAGAAAACCCTCTGAGAAGCAGGCTCTAGATGTGAGGCATGCAGAGGCCCCAGTCTCAAGCTAGAAGAGTATTTCTAATCCCTTTTCCCTTCCCCACTGTCCCTCCCCCCATGTGTCCCCACGGGATTTCAGCAGCACCCCCACCCCTGCTAAAGCAGAAGAGGAAAGATCTTGCCATGGTTGTGATGCTGTCATGATGACAGAGCCCATTTTATTGAGGATCCACTATGTGCCAGGGTTTCCCTGGTAGCTAAGCTGGTAACGAACCCGCCTGCCATGCAGGAGACCCTGATTCGGTTCCTGGGTTGGGAAGATCTGCTACAGAAGGAATGGGCTACCCATTCCAATATTCTCAGGGTTCCCTGCTGACTAAGACAGTGAAGAATCTGCCTGTAATGCGGGAGACCTGGGTTGGGAAGATCCCCTGGAGAAGGGAACCGCTACCCACTCCAGTACTCTTGCCTGGAGAATCCCATGGACAGAGAAGCCTGGCCGGCTGCAGTCTATGGGGTTGCAAAGAGTCAGACATGACCGAGTCACTTCATGTGACTTTCACTTCACTTCACTTCATGTGTCAGGCACTTAAGGTATAGGGCAGATATTAATTGCTCCAAACAATCTTGGATACAAGTGACAATACATTTCTTTGTTTCACAACTCAAATGTAATTCAGCTCAGCCCTAGCCTATCTGTAGTGGTGGGGAGCCCAGCCAGATCAGGCTGTTTATATCCTGTGGGCAAACCCACACATGCAGATCAAAAGCGACATGAAACCTTGAATCAGGAGGGACCCAGGATCTCAGGTCTCAGTGGCCCAAAACAGATGTCTCCTGACATTCTACCTCGAAATCCTCAGGTCCAGAGAGACTGAACTCTATCACTCTGTCCTTTTTGTAGCCCTTGTGTACACCTTTAAAAAAATGTATCTATTTATTTGTCTTAGTGGGTGGGGTCTTTGATCTTTGTTGCAGCATGTGGAATCTAGCTTCCTGACCAAGGATTAAACCTGGGCCCCCTGATTTGGTAGCTTGGAGTCTTAACCACTGGACCACCAGGTAAGTCCTGTTCATTTCCTGTTTTGACATTTTTTGAAGCAATCTCATTGCTTCCTTCTCCGACACCAACATAAGACTTGTGGGCCCAGAGACCCCCTAACTCTAGGCCTGTGTGAGTGTGGCTTATCAGCTCCAATCCCTCAGTCGACTCTAGACTACACATATCTACAGCGCCATGGTGGGTAAAGCATTCTCCTCCACCCCTTGATTTTGGACTTAGCCATGTAACTTACTCTAGCTGATAGATGTGCGTGAACACAACACAAACATAGTAATGAAGTGTACTTGTATAGTTGGCCTTGCTGTCTTAGATTTCTGCCATTGCCAAGCAGAAACTCCAGCTAACCTGCGGGGACAAAGAGTATGAGAGACATGTGGAACAGACCTGAACCAAACCCACAGGCCGTGCATCCAGTCACCCAGACCTCAGCCAACCTGTCAGATCTATGTATTTATTGCTGGAATCCACTGAGAATTCTGTGGTTGTGCGTTAGCTACAAGGGTAAACTGATACAAGGCCTAAGTCTCAATAGCACAGATTACCTTTCCTTAGGGCAAGGAGAACAAAGACTTGTCTGCTTTGCCTGGTCAGGGAACATGACCTTTCTGTGTTTTCCAAGTCAATAGTTGCCAAAACAAATTTTAAAATAAAAAATTCTTTGGTAATTTCTCAATAGGTCTCACTGTTACACATATTTTTAACTTTCACAAACACTCTGTGAGGTAGGCACTATTATTCTCATTCCAGATGTGAGAATCAAGACATGGGGATGTGGGATATTTGTCCAAGATAAAAGTTTTTGGCTACAGAAAAATATGACCTCACCAAAGAGATATATTTCTCTTTGTATAAAGGGCTTCCCTGTAACTCAGATGGTAAAGAATCTGCCTGCAATTCAGGAGATCTGGGTTAGATTCCTGGCTCAGGAAGATCCCCTGGAGAAGAGAATTGCAACCCACTCCAGTATTCTTGCCTGGAGAATCCCATGGACAGAGGAGCCTGGTGGACTATAGCCCACGGGGTCACAAAGGGTCAGACATGACTAACACTACTACTACTGAAGAGATATATGGGCTTCCCAGGTGGCGCTAATGGTAAAAAATCTTCCTGTGATGCAGGAGTCCTGGGTTCCATCCCTGGGTTGGGAAGATCCCCCGGAGAAGGGAATGGCTACCCACTCCAGTATTCTTGCCTTAAGAATTCTGTGGACAGAGGACCTTGGATGGCTATAGTCCATGGAGTTGCAAAAAGTCAGACACAACTGGGCAACTAACAAAGAGATATACAGATGGAAAATAAGCATTTGAAAAGATGCTCCACATCAATGTCATCAGAGCAATGCAAATTAAAGCAAGAATGATGGGACTTCCCTGGTGGTCCACTGGTTAGGACTTTGCACTTTCACTGCCAAGGCCTAGGGTTCAATCCCTGGTCAGGAAACTGAGATCCCCCCAGGCCATGTGTCTCAACCAAAAACAGACAAATTAACAAACAAAAAACTCCCACAATGAGATACCACTGTTCTGTTCTGTTCTATCACTAAGTCGTGTCTGACTCATGGGGTCCATGGACCGGAGCATGCCCGGTTTCCCTGTCCTTCACTGTCTCCCAGAGTTTGCTCACACTTATGTCCATTGAGTCGGTGATGCTATCCAACCATCTCATTCTCCATTGCCCCCCTCTCTTCCTGCCCTCAATCTTTCCCAGCATCAGGATCTTTTCCAATGAATTGACTCTTCACATCAGGTGGCCAAAGTATTGGAGCTTCAGCATTAGTCCTCCCAAAGAACACTTAGGGTTGATTTCTTTAAGATTGACTGGTTTGAACTCCTTGCAGTCCAAGAGCCTCTCAAGAGCCTTCTCCAGCATCACAATTTGAAAGCATCAATTCTTTGACACTTAGCCTTTTTTATGGTCTCATGTCTGTACACGACTACTGGAAAAATCTTAGTTTTGACTAGATGGACATTTGTCCGCAAAGTGCTGCCTCTGCTTTTTAACATGCTGTCTAGGTTTGTCATAGCTCTCCTTCCAAGGAGCAAGCGTCTTTTAATTTCATGGTTGCAGTCACCATCTGCAGTGATTTTAGAGCCCAAGAAAATAAAATCTCTCACAGTTTGTACTTTTTCCCCTTTGATTTCCCATGAAGTGATGGGACTGGATGCCACAGTCTTTGTTTTTTGAATGTTGATTTTAAGCCAGATTTTTCACTCTCCTCTTTTACCCTCATCAAGAGACTCTTTAGTTTCTCTTCACTTTTTGCCATTCATGTGGTATCATCTCCATATCTGAGGTTATTGATATTTCTCCCAGCAATCTTGATTCCAGCTTGTGATTCATCCAGCCTGGCATTTTGCATGATGTACTCTGCACAGAAGTTAAATAAGCTGAGTGACAATATAAAGCTTTGTTGTATTCCTTTCCCAATTGTGAACCAGTCAGTTGTTTCGTGTCTGGTTCTAACTGTTGCTTCTTGACCTGCATACACATTCGTCAGGAGAGAGTTAAGGTAATCTGGTATTCCCAGCTCTTAAGAATTTTCCACAGTTCGTTGTGATCCACACAGTCAAAGGTTTTGTTGTTGTTGTTCAGTAGTTTAGTTGTGTCTGATTCTTTGAGATACCATGGACTGCAGCACCCCTTTATGGATCACAGCACTGTCATGGCAAAAGGACTTGCATAACTCAGTGTAGCTATGAGCCATGCCGTGCAGGGCCACCCAAGATGGACAGTCATAGTGGAGAGTTCTGACAGAATGTGGTCCCCTGGAGGAGGGAATGACAAACCACGTCAGTATTCTTGTCTCGAGAACCCCATGAACAGTATGAAAAGCCAAAAAGAGAGACCACTACCTACCTATTAAAATGGCCAAAATCCAGGACACTGACAACACCAGCTACTGGTAAAGATATGGAGCAACAGAACTCTCATTTGTTACTGGTGGGAATGCAAAATTGTCCCTACCACAGCCATGTTGGAAGACAGTTGGGCAGTTTCTTATAAAACAAAGTATACTCTTAGCATACAATCCAGCAATTGTGCCCCTTGGCATTTATAGAGCTGAACTGAAACCTGCACACAGATTTCTGTAGTAGTGTTATTGATAAATGTCCAAAGTTAGTGGCAACCAGAATATCCTTCAGTAGATGAATGGATAAATAAACTGTAGCACATTCAGACCATGGAATTTTCTTTGGAGAAATGAATTATCTCTCAAGCCATGAAAAGACATAAAGTAATCTTAAAAATTCCACTTCATAATTAAACATATCACATCACAGACTGTCCTAAGAATGGCAGATTCTAAAACAATAGAACACACCAGAATTGGGAAAGAACATGAGCAAAGACACCAAAGAGTATTTTTTTAGTGGCAATACTTGAGATATAAAATCTTGAATATGAAATTAAATTCTATTCAAAAATCCATCTATTCATAAACAAATGGCTATTAAGTGAATTTATTTCATGGCTTATGGTTCAGGCTTAGTAAAATTTTGATAATGCATTTTACTTTTGTTCTGGCATGAACAAGCTTAATTTTTTAAGTGAAAAGAAAAAAAGCTTGGCTAAAAGTACAG